TGGCCGGGTGATAATAAACACACAGGGGCGAGAAATGAACATAGGACATGGTGATGTGATATATCTTTAGATGATGATATTAAGGCTAGATACTTATTTTATAGTACTATATACTAGGATAACAGAGACAGTGACTACACATCTATTCGCGGTGGGAGAAGTGAATGTAGTCTATCAGTTCACCAGGGACTGCTTCAGTTTGTTTCCATTCACTGTTTTCATGCAAATACTTCAATAGTAAGTAATGCACCAAATTGAAGGTTAGGGCATGTGTATTCAGTCTCCGCATTTGAAGTACTAGTGTGAATGTGTAGTTTCCAACTCCTTATTATGCATCTGCTTTCACATCCTCTCAAAAATGCTAACTTTCCCCTGTCCCCATCCTTAAATGCCTTTGCTATACAAAAGCCTCAACGTATATCTATCTATCGCATGCTGAACATATCAGAATGCGAAACTATATTCGATGGCATAGTATTCTACGTGCACAGGCATCACGAGATTAGTATATCTCCTAGATGCCTCTCAACATCTGCTATAGCTCTTTATCATGGATGATTCTCAGTACAACATAGATGAGAAGGTATTACAACTAATGGCAGAGGAGTTGTGATATGTTGCGTCCATGCGCGTCGGAGTTTTTAATTACTTTATCTTTGTATCTGTTACTGAACGCTACTATGCATTATACATAATACATCTAAAAAGTGACAAGCACCGACCCCTTGGGAAACAAGCGTACATGCTAATGCTAGAACTTTTTATCAATCCCAGGTTAGACCGACCCAAGAGCTCCAAAGCTCAGTCCCTTTGCAAGCCCCAGCCGCAACATCCGGAGAATATCTTCTCCCTTGGCGTCCTCTGGCAGACCAGCACGCCAGTCCCAGCCTCGCTCATGATACGCCGAGCGAGCGTCATCACCAGAACGAGGCACCAACACGCCAGAGCTGCCAGCGGATCCAGATCCTGACCGGTTCCGCGCGGACTCGATCATATCACTACCAATGAACGAGAAGGTGCTCGAAGCTGTCAGCGAAGAGACGGACTTTTTCAGAAGTGCGCGGGGAGATGGCGGGAGAACAGAAGAGTCATTAGATGCTGAATCAGCGCCTGCGCGCTTGGAGGAGTGATATTCGATGAGTGTAGAGCGGAAACACTCCTCACATTGAGCATAGACGCGGGGTGTAACCGTTTCAAGATCCTCAATGGCGGACAGAATAGCGGATTGTTGAGATACGGAAAGAGTGGGTGTAGGTTCTAATATTTGGTTAGCAGTCGAGCTCATCCAGCATGGAACAAGACTTACGTTCGACAAATGGCAGCGCCTCTCCTAGAAGCGCTAATAAGCCATCGACTTGCACCGCAGAATCTCGGCCAGGGTCGTAAAGGCCACCGTAAATACTATCTGCAGCACTACTGATGACCGCGACCAAAGCTTGGGCTGCCGCTCGCCGTCTGGCTAAAGGTTTGAACCGTGGCTTTTGCCCCTCTTGGAGACCAATAGTCTCATCACGAGTCTCATAGTATCGTCGTAGAGTAGCATAACCACTGAAGTAAAATTGAAGAATACTGGCAGCTTCCTCATCAACCCCAGCAACGGCCGAGAGGCATGCCTTAGGCTCTCTGATCAAAGAGTAGAGCTGTTCATCAAGGTTTACATGTGCAGGGTACGCGCGTGATTGGACGAGACTGTACGAGATAAGTAGATCAACCACAGACTTGACCTTTCGTCGGTTGTGGGCCCGAGCATAGCAGATTAAAGCAAGGCCATATTCTTCGGTCTTGGAAACTGTAAGATCGCCAAAACGCTGCAATAAATCAGTACGTGATTTTCTGTTGACACAAGTAGGTGACTAACCTCAGAGACTCGTTTCCCTTCCTTTTCTAGACCGAGTTCAGAGCATAGCAACACGGCCCTGTCCATCTGCTCCGCAGTGTCAAGCGGCAACTTATCTAATAGCTCTGATACGCTCTTCTGCATCTTCTCATGGTCATTTAGACGGCTTAGAACCTCGAGTGCCAATTCCCAGCCCTGTCGGACACCATTTTCAATGCTTCCGCGCTCAAATAACCCAGAGGCATAGCTGCTTAGAATGTCGTCCTTGCTAACACTGCCCTTCTGCGATTTACCATCTTGGCCATAGGAGAGAACCATCAAGTCATTCTCGCTCAGGCCTGTTAGCGGCTTTGCCCCGGTTGCCGTCTCTAGCCAGCCACCAGCTGACGCAACTTCAGCCACAGCAGACGCAACACAAAGCGACCACGTCTGAAGCAATTCTAACACACCATCAACGTTTCCTTCAAAGACGGAGGCCAGCCCAACTTCGATGCTGCTGAGAGAGTTAACCCGGAAACCGCCTTGATCTGATTCTGCATTTGTCGCACTATTAAATGCCAGATCAAGGCGACGAAGATAAGCATCCTCATGATTGCTGCTAGAAGACTGTGGTTTCGATACCCGAGGACGGAGAAAATGAATGCTAGTGCTGGCACCAAGTCCATTGTTTTGCGCTGAACTCTCATCATCATCTTCCCCGTCCCACCAAACTGTCAAGCTGACAGTCGCCTCAACCCAGTCCTGTGCAAGATTCATGATAGCACTCGTATCGCCGAGGATAATGCGGTAGAGGGATCTCAGATTTTGGTAAATCGTCCACGGAACGCGGCTTTCTGCCATGCGCGCGGACTGCGCAAAGGAGAATTCACCTGCCGCAGCGCTGGGCTTCAATCCGAAGTTTATTGCCTGGAAACGATTGCCCACAACCGGGGGCTCAGAATCTTGTTGCTCACCACCTTCAGCAAACTCCTCAAGGTCTGTCACTGCAGCAAGCACACGCCTCCTGTACATGCCCCACTCGGCTCCCCTTACGTCCCAATCACCATGCTGAGTGCCAGGGCATGAATCTAAAATCTGTACGGCTCTATTGACGCACTTCTGAATATTCTGTAACTGTGCCCCACGATAACCTGTCTGTGGCAAGCCGTCCTCCAATGCAGACCTAGCATAGTTAAAATCTGCAACCCGCAAGACGTCCGCAGCTTCGGGAATATGACCGCGCAATACAGCAGCCTTAAGAATCTCCCAAAAATTTGAAGACGCAGTAGGACTTGGCTCCACATCTTTCAATGATCGCAGTTCGGCCGTCTGAGGATAATTTTTATTAAGCCAATCAAGGAGCAGCTTCGGTATAGGGATAGGCGCACTAGTTCTCGAGCCAGCATGCATAAGGCTTTGCGGTGCCGCAAAGCCCAGGGGGTTGGGAAAACTTCCAGACCTCTCACTTGAAAGAGGGGGGTGGTGAAGCTGTAGCAACAAAGAACCCAGGAAGCTCGCTTTAATCACGCCAGGAGCATGGTCCCCAGGGCCCACTTGTGTACTAGAGATCCGGGACACGCCCTCATGCTCTGCATATAATTCCCAATCATCCGCGAGTTGGCTACAGACCTCTGATAGCATGACCTGGAAATCCACATCTTGGTATTCAGCCTTTCGCACTTCGTCGTACAAGCGACATATTTCATCCTCCGTGTTGATAATGACTTGGCTCGGCTCTTCAACCGACGCGATACGCGATCTTGACGTGAAGTTTCGCACGATTGACGGCATTGGAGAGTCCTTCTTAGGGGACAGTTTCGTTTTGCGTAGAGGTGATTGATTTGCCCATTTTTCATCGAGCTTAGGCCGCTTCGCATTGCTTGGATTTGTATATATCGGTTTTCGGTGATCTTGCGAGGTGGACTGTGGAAAAACGGGCTTTCCAAACTGAGAGTCCAAGAAGCTCAAGCGGTTGTCGTCTCCAGTTGTATCGCCTACGTCCATATCGCCATCCGCTTCTTCTTCCTCTGGAACGGCCTCCTCGTCCTCAACATCTTCTTCCATTTGCGACGAGGCAAAACTATTGGACGGCCCAAAATTGGTCGATTCGCCGAACCGGCTCTCATTTGTCACACTGAAAAGAGATTGAGAGGGCGCAAAGGACTTGGCTGGCGCTGCTTTCCTTCCCCGTGGCGCTGGATAATCGAAGGATGCGATCGAGGATCCGAAGATGCTGTCATTGGGATTGATGTTTCCAGATTTTGTAAAAAGAGAGCCGGGGGAGTCGAACTGCGATCTAGAGCTCATCTGGGAGCTGCCGAATACGGTGGACGGAGGAGCGCCTTGCGGAGTAAAGGAATTAGATGCAGACGGCGGAGCACCCGCAGGGGTTTCAGATAAACTGAACAAGCTGCGAGATTTTCCCGGGGTCGAGGGGGACTCGAATCGAAAGGAACCTTAAAACTCATGTTGATTTGGTGTTGGTTGGTGTAACGAGAAGAGTATAAACAAAAGCGATAATTCTTGGTCGACTTAGATCTGCGGAATGAAAAGTTACTACCCCAGTCGGGGGCAGAGAACTCGTACAAGGGGATAGACACCTAATGCCAGGCGCGCACAATTAGCCAATGACCCGCCGCTGGATGACGGAGTAATCGAGTTACAGATAGGGAATTGTCAACCCCAAAGTGTCCTGCAAGTTCCTCTTCTTCAGCATCGCCAGTCCGCCCATCAACGCGCTCGGGTCTTGGCACCAACTGCGACGTCATGTGATATCATGTGACCTAAAGTCACATGGTAATCATCATATATAACACGTGATCATGAATACCCCAGTTTGGGCAAGTCGTATTCGCTAGCCCCTTGGGTTGCCCAAGGCTAAATCTGGCCGGCGTTCCAAAGCCAAGAGCACAGCCCTTGGAGCCTTTCCTGATCATCATTGGATGGCATACCTTCAGATTGTTCTTTTTTAAGTTATCCTTTGAAACGCCCATGGCGATGATCAACGCTAAGCCTTGTGTCTCTCGTATCAAGGGTCTTAAAAAATGATTTCACGGATCTCACCTCAGAATACGAAGTAGATATATAAGATGTGTAGAAGACCCTCTCCCCCAAAAGTGCTCCTTTGTGTCCTATCTACCTCTTACTCATCACTCATGTATAACAATACCTCAGTATCTGCATGATGGGTTCTTCCAAATACATTTCTGACCAGGAGTCATTCGATGGGAGTCTTTTGAACACAAGCAGCAACTCTCGCCTCTTTCATGTATACCATACCCTATGGCACAATGATTACACCGTGACTTCGGACGACAAGGCCCCCCTTTTCTTTGTGGATAACTCAAGTTTCACCCCAAAGAAGCCTGACCTCACATTCCATGCTGGCGCTGATAAGAAGGCCCCTATTGTGGGCGTCTCCAAATTCCTACATTTTTCAAGGCACATCAAAGTAGGGCTCGGCGACCCGCAGAGTATCAATCACGTTGAGTGGGAGGACCTTGTCTCTCAAAACATCAGATGCAACAAATACCGCTGGCAAATGACCGTCCGGGGTGCCTCTGGAGCAGAACGACGGTCTTTTATGTGGAAGAGAACACACTCTGTTGCAGTCCAAGGCTCCTCCGCTACCAAATGGAGTAGTCGCAACTTCAAGCTGGTCGATGAGCAAACCGGTCAGATTGTTGCAATATTTACGAGCACTGCATTTAAAAGTGTCAAGAAAAGTGGCAAACTCCAAATCGACTCGGCGAACTATGGCGAGGAGTTTGACCTGATGGTCCTCATTACTGGGCTTTCTCTGTATGAGAAACAAAGACGGCGCGACAATAACCATGGTGGAGGTGGCGGGGGCGGTGGTGGAGGTTAAGAGATCTCTCCTTCTATTTTTTTTTTACTTTTCTTCAATTCCCTAATATTTTGAGATACCAAGTCTGTTTCTTAAGTTAACATGTTATATATGTCTATGATATGATATCTACTGCTTCTTGTATTAGTATAGTTCTTGGCATGTAGTACGATGACATATTCCGCTTTATAGAGCTCGACCTCCAATAACTCCATAGATATGCAGTTGCCTAGAAAGTCCTTTCTCTTCTCTAATGGATAACATTATAACCCTAGCACTTCTCATACTATTCTAGAAATCTTTGAGTTTCTAGAGTATGTCAGCATAGCTGATTGTTGTGCGACAGCATCTGATAGCATCTGATGGTACTACGAAGATCCCAACGGAAGTCTCGCCCTGGCCGTCTAGAATGCAAGCGAAGACGCGTCAAGGTATGCACTCACTTGACACGACTCCATGGATTTATATAACTAAACTAGCCTTCCAGTGCGATGAAACCCGGCCAGTGTGCTCCAACTGCTCTAAGCGCCACACGGAATGCGAATTTGACTCGAGCAGTTCCCTCCTATGGGCGAATAAGGAACCACGTAACGCAAAGTCAACTAACTCTGGAAATGAAGGGCCTCTACTACCAGAGCTGCTGCATGGGACTGCCGTTCCATTTGTCTTCTCATTCCCGTCCCAGCCTCAACTTGGGCGACTTGGAGTTAATGATGCAGTGGTGTAACTCAACGTACCAGGTCCTAACGCGCAATGAAAGGACCGATCCCGTCTGGCGTCTTCATGTTCCGGAAGAGGCCTTGTCACATCCTTTCCTTATGCAAAGAATTTTGGCCCTTTCTGCACTTCATATAGCGGACGAGGGATGACCACCGTCGTCCGCAGTATATCAGTACTGCCGTATCCAACCAAACCAGGCATTCATATCATTCCTAAAACTTCTTGATGATATAAATGACTCAAATGCAAAAGTTATGTTTGTATTATCAAGCATTATACTTGTATATGCCTTCGGTTTCCCTCATTCTCCTGAGTCAAAAGACCCATAGGCGTGCGTGCATTGACGATTTCATCCAAGTTTTGGTATTAGCGCGGAGTGTGGAGCAAGTGCTGAGACAGACTACGCGTCTATTAAATCCGAAGTAGCGACTGGGAAATTCTCCTACGCTTGGACGAATATATTACCTCTCTTCAAAGAGATGCTCTTGCACCCCTCGAACGACTAAGTGAGCTGAATGTTTATCGTGGTGCACAAGACCCGACGCATGATACCGACATCTACAATAGAACTATTGACAACCTGACGGATATAACGGCTGCAGCCTACGGTGGTTTGACTTCAACCATTGTTACCGCGAGGTGGGCAATAAGATTGAAACCCAAGTTTGTGAACCAGATTCGGGAATGTAGCCCTCTAGCTCTCATTCTAGCGCATCTTTGCGCGGTTCTTTGTCGCCTTGAGTATGACTGGTTCATCGACCAGTGGGTTTTCAGGCTACCAAGGGCAATATGGCAGATCCTGGATGACCGCTGGAAACCATATGCCCCGTGGCCCATCGTAGAAATCTTTGGACAGGATCTCCTCAGCGAAATTAAAGCATATTAATTCAGCTTGATCTCTCGCAGTACCTACTATGTCGTATCCGGATATACATCTGCGCATGTCTGGCACATGGGACACTCTGATCACAAGTTCTCTCTCTATTACGGACTTATTTTCAGAAGGCACTTGTTTAAAATTGATACCCTATCTAATACATCAAACAGGAAAATGAGGCGGACTCTCAGACTGTCCCTAAAATGCCATAAGTCACCCTCGGCCCAAGAAATTAACTTCACCTGGATGAATGACCAGAAAGACAACGGTTACAAAAAGCATTAGGAATCCGTCATACACGTAAACAAAGACTTCGTTTCGGAGTAGGAAGCCATCCGAGCCTTGAATATACTCCGCGACTCGAAAACTCGACCGGATCAGAATGAAGAGACTTGAGAAGTGCAGTGCAAACATATGCCTTTGCCAGGGGGTGTTATCATCAACAGAACCATGCTCGGGTTCCAAGTAGACGGTATGTATGGATGACGGAAAGAATAAGGAATAGCACAACAAACAATATATCTGCAGCTTTGGAAGGGTAGTAGTGATAGGCATTCCAGCCTGTATGTTCTGAGTCTGCCATCCCGGGAAGCTATATAGGGCAGGGTTGAAGCGTTATAACTCAGCAAGGCGAGTGAAAGACATTGGGGGAATACAGGTCCTGCAATGTGTGTTTAAACCAAAACCTCGAGCTGCAAACCCCCTCCTCATCGCACTTTCACGCAGTATTACGGAGGTGGAGGCACAGCAAAGATCCACAGATCGTATATCTCGTACCTTTCCCTGAATCGGGTAATAGCTATATGTATATGGTCCTTGACTCCTTCTACAGCGACCTATTGGCTCTCGCTACTGCCACTACTGAAGACCCAAGAGTTAAGCTTTAGATTTTCAGTTATGATGGAGAGAAATAATTTCTAGCTCCTAATGAGGTCCAGTCCCTTGCTTCGGTCTTAGTTCTCCTGATGGCGAGTGCTACACTTAGGGAGCCCATCAGTGGGACGGGGTAATACTGGGGCAATACCTAGTCGATACATCAAGTTCATTCAACCTTCACGTTTGATCTGTAATTGCGTTTTGAGCCAGTACGTGTCCCGACTCTGCGCCCTACCTTAGACTCAACATTGGCCCTCTATCTTATCCAGTAATCAGTACACTAGACCTGCTCTATCCACTCCAGCAGAAACACAACGCCCACATGGCACGCCCTACAACTTCGCTTGCTTCTCCGTCTCATTGACCAACACATATCGATACCGCGCCTTGCCAGCATCCATATCAGCCAACGCAGCATTCACATCCTCCATTGGCCTCTTTTGAATCCACGGCAACACACGTTTCTCCGCCGCCAACTGCAGCATGAGCCGAATATCCTCTGGCGAACCAATATTCGACCCGGTAACCTTCACCCCCTTCTGAATTAAAGAGAAGGCCGTCAACTGTGGAAGCGGCTTCTCAGGCGCCCCAACCTGCACAAACGTACCATCAACCTTCAGCAGCCGCAGATACTGACTCAACGGCATATCCGGCGCATCAACAGTACAGATAATCAGATCCAGGGAACGCGAATGCGTCCTCCCCCACTTCTTCTCCTCATCAGTAGCAATGAAAGCATCCGCTCCAAGCCCCTCAATTGCATCTTTCCGTTTACTCGACGTCCGAGAAATTCCGACCACCCGATCACACCCCAGCGCCCTCGCAAACAAAATCCCCAAATGCCCCAGTCCCCCGATGCCCACAATGCCAACCGACTTCCCCGGCCCGGCGCCGTACTTCCTCAACGGTGCAAACACCGTAACCCCACCACATAGTAACGGCGCGCCTCAGCCGAGGGCAGCGAATCGGGGATCTTGAACACGAAATGCGCCGGCCCGCGCCAGCGCATCGCGAAGCCCCCGTATGCTTTGCTCTTGTCGGCGTATCGCGAGTTGTATGTCCCCGTTATCCGGGGACAGTAGTTTTCCTGTCCGTCTGCGCACTCGGAACAGTCCGCTCGCAGACAGGACATGCTCTGCGCGCCAATTCCGACCCGGTCTCCGATGCGGATCTCCCGGGAGGCTGGGGATGATGCCAGCGTTGGGACGCCCGAGCCGATGCGGGTCACGATGCCAATGATCTCGTGGCCGACTACGCAGGGGTAGTCTGCGGGGCCCCAGCCTGAGCGGAGGGTGTGGATGTCTGTTCCACATATACCGCAGTGGGAGACTGCGATTTCGATGTCGGTCTCTGTGAATGGTTTGGGGTTGAAAGTCGTGAATGTTAGGGGGCTGGTGGCGTTGTGGGCTACCCAGCCCTTGAATGTGTCTGCGGTTGTTGGGGGCATTTTCGGGTGATTATTGGGGTATTTGCAATTTAGGTAGCTTGAAGTGTAGCGCGTAGTTATGCTGATGGCTTCGGCCTTATATGATTGTTTGTCTGGGTGTCGTTGGTGGCGCAGTGGTGAGGTTGATTATTTTGCTGGTAACAATACGCAGTTATGCGAGATCTGCTCAACAGTTAAAGTGAACTTTTGGGCACGCAGATCTTTCAGAGATTTAGAGGGGATATATGTACATCACTTAGAGGAGAAGTCGGCTACTCTAGAGTAAATGGTGGAGATTGATGGACCGAATCAAGAATTGCCGAGGTTGCGGGATATCCTCATGAATATGAACAGTAGTTATGTTTATTGGTCACAGCATGTCGGATCCCATATTCAATCCATTAGATGCATTATGATTAACGAGTACATGTTTCCGACTAAAGACAGAAGAGTTCCCATGCGCCAGATCAGGTCAAATCATGACAATCGTATGCAGCTAACTGGTAGCAGGCAGAGAAGTATTTACACTGGAGGGTATCAAACAAATCATATCCTAAACACGCTGGCTTACAATAACTTGTTCACCGGGATGTCATCCCCATCAGCTCGCCCAGCTCGTCATTAGTGAGAGTGCTTCTTCGCCGATCCTGGCTCCCTTTAGAACCCTTCACTGGGCGGCCTCTCTTGCGGCTCTCGCCCTCTTTGCGGGCTTGTTCCGCGGCGCGGGCTTCACTCTCGGCGGCGGCTAGTTTCTGAGAAACACTCATTCGGGTTTGTGAACTGGCGCCCGGTTCCTTGGTCGGACCTGGCTTTTTCGGCTCATGCAGTCTGCTAGCCTGACTGGGTACCTGACGTGTCGTCTTGGTCTCCGGTTTTCTCCTCGACGGCCTGCGGGTAACTGTCTCGGACTGATGTGCTTTGATTGGCAAAGTATCATCGCCGCCGGTAGGTTCACAAGGTGAACCATGGAGTCCAGGTGTGAAAGAAACCTTTCGTGGCAAACGCGCGGGGCGGACATTCTCGCTCCGCTCCTTCAGCGCACGATCAGAGCTCTTCTGAGACTTTTCCTCTCGTACAGGTAGCTGAGTGTCAGCAGAGGCCGGAGATAGCTCAACGCTCTCTTGAGAAGCTTTGGCTGCGGGCTCTTCTTCCTCCTCAGCCTCCTGATCCTCGTAAATTGGCGACTGCGTCTGTGTCTCCCCGTCGTCGGCAGGTGCAAGATCCTGAGCCGAGTCTACACTAAGGTCGAGCCTCATACCCATTCGCAACTCCTCCGCTTGCACTGAGCCACCGCCGTCGGCGATTCGTCTATGCCATCCGTCCATCATGGTAACAGCTTGTTTCCACCTGCTCTCCATCTTTTCCCAACTTTCCCGTAACCTACCAATTTCCTCGTCGCGCACCTCGACTTCTTCAAGCGGTACAAAAGAGGGATTAGTGAGGAGTGTTCTCAGATGTTCCAGCACCCTATCCATTTGGTTGGACAGCTCTTCACAAGATGCCGGAAGCGTAGTAACTGGTCCTTGCGATGATTTTTGAGTTCCCACGCTTGCGCCGTTCGAATACTCTTCATTCTCCTCGCCTTGGGGCAAACCTTGTAAGTCCTTCAGGGTCTGGACAGTGTTCCGCGCAAGCATAATCAGACTATCATTCTCATCGCTCAGGTTCTGGCATAACTCTGTCAGGAAATCGTTCGTTTCCTGTTTCAGACTGTAGCCTGGGTCGTTGACATTATCACCACCCGACAAAAGCTTAGCCTTGGAGGATCGATCAACTGCAGGGTTTATGTTGATGGTTGTCACGCCTAGCCCCTCCCGTTTCCCTCTCTGACGTTCTGCCAAGTGGGATTTCAATCTCTGCATCTCCAGGTCACGCTTGCGGATATCGTTGGCACACTGAGCCCGGACTTGTTGGATCGTAGTCTTCATCCGTTGCACTTGGTCTTTCAGTTGTCTTACTGTAGCATCGGCACTCGCTGCATTAGCTTTCTGGGCACGTTCTTGCGCTTCCGCCAAAGCGACCGATCGGGCCAATTCGGATGTTTTCGCCTTGAGTTTCTCCTGTACGCAGTCTTAGCTTCTTGTAAAGCCTCTCAAGTGTCACTAGAACATACAATTTCGAGTGTCTTTTGAGCATCCTCCGCTCGCAATGTCCGAATCGTTGTCGCTAGATTCTCTCGGTGTTCGGCTTCGCGCTATTCCAATCCGGTCAGATCAAGTACAAGATGACGCAGGACATTCACATACATCTCTCCTCAAAACCAAATCATTCACTAGGTTGATGACTCTCGCCATAGCAGCCCCAGTGCCTCCCTCCTCATTCTCCGGCTGGGCGAAATCAATCGGCCTGCCACTTTTCAGCAGCCCCCGGGCGAGAAGCACATTATTTATATAGGTAGATGCCGCCTGCAAATTATGCGGCTCCATGCTTGCCTGCAAGCTGTCGGCCAAATATTGGATGAACTGGCGGGGATCGGGCGACTTAAGTCGTGAGAATTCAAAACGTTTCGCAAGGGCCCCGGGCCGTTATTTTCACTTGCAGGGATTCCGAATGGGGAAGAATGTAAACACCGCCTTTTCCGCGGTGGACCGAATATACCAAATGCGCAGTCGCATGATCGTCGCCTCCGTTGCCAGGCGGACTTGGAACTAAGCCGCTTTGGTTCTACTCTGTACAAGGACCTTTTACTCCAGATTCAGTCGCATCTTCCTGCATCCATACCGGTACACTCTGGTTCAGATAAACCTGGTCTCTGTTGTACAGCAGAATAATGGCAATCGTTCGTTTCCGATCTGTGTCAAACTCGCGATGCTTACAATTATTGCCAGAACATCCGATCTCGGTCCGTTGCTTGCTCAAGAATAACACACATTACTCCGCGCAACTCACAGCTTACGAAGTAAATGTACTCCGGCGTACGGTGCTGGCCTTTTCTTCAGCCACACACCCACTGTTTATCGCTTTCATAGCTGAGAGACTCTCATGTGTAACCTAGTACGGTAATGTGACATGGTGCCGCCATCTCGTATGTATCTTTTGTTTATCTCTTATTTGTCTTAATTTATTTTGGAATTTCTTTTTTTTTCCAAGGGAGATCAACTCTTGGCTGCATAAATTATTACCTGTCAGAGAATTCCAAGGACGAGTTCTAATCCCAGTGACCGGGCACACCTTCCATGATGTCCATCGAATACTAGATACTGAATACATGAGCCTACTCCTCGCATCGCCGATGACACACATTATTCTGATGTGCCATATATAAGGCCAATTGGTTCGTTTAATGGCTCTGTCCTTATGTCCTGTCAGACATATATAGCTCAGGGCCTCGAGGAATACATGGGTACTCCGTATGTAAGCCAAACAGAAGTAGAGCTCTTCGCGTCGAGTTAATAGTCGAAGCTGACAAGTCAAGCGCAAACGAAGCACTGTGCATATGCAATGCTGCCCGAGGATGCTATCATACGAATAGAAGACTACTCTCGATTGAACTAATTAGGGCAATACACACGAGAACAAACCAGTTTAGCCTAATATTCATTCAAGTGATAGTCTCTGTAAAGTAGCAAGACTACTTTGGTAAGTAACAAGGGCATCCATGCGAACGGAAGATCCTAGTGATAGATTCGTTGTCTCGAAAGTGGAGTCCCGTGTTCGATGGGGACGCCTTTCCAGATTAAGACTAGTGGGGGGACTTTGGTCTCTTTAGCAAAGCCTAATTAAAAGACAAGCACATCCAGTCGCGGTGGTTTATCTCCTCGCAGCATGGAGCTCTGACTGAGTCTAATCGAAGTGTTGGTATGATGGGCTCTCAACGTACGTGTTAAGACCCTCAAACTCTAAAACATTTCAACAGAAATGTCCGGTGCTCTGATGATCATTAGCGTGAGACTAACGAACCATAGCTCCAGCGCGTGGCGAAGCAGCTGCCTTACAGCGGCATGGTCAACAATTATACCAGACGGGTAGCTTCAAGGCTGCCATAGATGCTTTCTCAGAGGTACAGCGAGTCAATGCTCCATCGGACTTCATTCAGCCTGTCAACTCTAACAACGGCATGGTTTGCCTCAGGCATTAAATAGTAAAGATGCTGATTTTCTTGGTGTACTTGATAATCGTGCCGCTACATACACTAAGCTCGGTCAATCTGATCGGGCGCTCAAAGATGCGAGGCAGATGATCAAAAAGGACAAGCAGGACGAACGCGTATAGCCCTATTGCCAAGTGTCCAGAGCCTTCATGCACCTTTGCTAATTTGAACCAGGGATATCTTCGCTGCGCAAAATGCCTTCTCTTGGACGGAAAGCCCGAGAAGGCTTTAGAACTCTACGCATATGCGTTAAAGACCTTACCTAGTAATAATCCTCGCCGTGAGGTCAGTGCTACTGTCCAGTGGATGTTGACCCTCATCTCCAGGCCTATGCTGACCTACGTAGCTCGTAGAACAACTACACAACAAGCTTCGAGATAAATTAACGTCTAAATGCCGTGACCCATTCAGTGTGCTGCCTCTGGAAATAGCAGCTATGGTGTTAGAGCATCTTGACTTCAAGCAGATCGTGTACGTGGCTCAAATTGCCGTCTCACGCCCCATTCTAATTGTTATCCTCAAGGGCCATCCTTCGTGTATCCAAACAATGGGACAGTTTCCTATCCTCAATGCGAAGCTTATGGATGCGGATTGATCTGTCTGGTGCCCGCAGCAAAATCCATTGGTGTTCCGTCCTGGCTTACATTCGACGGTCAAAGTCCATGGTATCCCATGCTATTGTGAAGAACATATCGTCTAGTTCCACAGAAAAAGTCCTTCAATTCTTCAGCAGGTGTCCAAGATTAGAATACTTGGAAGTCTGGACGCCATTTAGCTGCCAGAACTTTTATGAGATGTTCAAAGGCTCCCGACGTATGAAAACGCTGATAATATCAGGGGATATGCCGGTGCCGCAGGAGTATATTACGAAATTTCTGGGAAGCTTGCCTCTCCTTGAGAATATCAAAATACACAAAGCCAAAACTTCACCTTCATCAAAAGTGCATTGGCCCTCAGAGCTCCCACATCTGCGGAGCATAATCCTTCGCACCACAGATGGATCGTGGGTAAACGGACATACGTCTGCCCTGCATATCCCTCGCAAACAAGTACTATTCACCCTGCTATACCTCCCTCTCCAAAGCTCAGCTAACTGACTGTTCCAGCCTTCTCTTCCCTATTGTATTGCCAATCTCGAAGAGCTATGCCTCAACTCAGATCCGGACGTCTTTTTCCCTTATCCTCCTTCTTTCAATCCAATAGAATTTACGCGATTACGGCGACTGGACATCAGCGGCATATATGTCAGTGATGATTTTACTCTACCATCTACCCTTGAGTACCTACGCATCTGTGGTGGTGCTGCGACTGAGGAATTCCCATTCTCTAACCAGCGTCCTGTTGAGTTTCACGAACTCAAGACCCTTATGTTCAGGGATGTGCCTTGGGTCTCGAATAACACCATGCTTATCTTTCTTGTGGAAGCCAAAGCCCCACTTGAGATACTCCATGTAGACAGCTGTTTCCGATTGCGCGGGACTGCATTCTGGCACAGTCTATGCAAATATGCCACCGATCTAAAAGAACTCAACGTCTCCCATGTTATCGGGATCAATGATGACTTCTCGCACATGATTGTTGAGAAGATGCATAAATTGAAAGTCATTTACATGGCTTATACCGAGATCACTGGCATCTCCATCAAAACATTCGCTGATGCCCGAGCCTCTGAAGGCGATGTCATGAAGATCGAACGGCTACATGTAAAAGGGTGTGAGCATGTCTCACCAGACGCAATCGCATATGGTCGGGCACACGGCATTGAGATAATCACCTGACCCGATGATATGTATACAAAGACGAGCACTCCAAGAATCATTGCATGAACGATACTGGCGTCCTGGCGTCAACTTTGCCTTAGCGAGCGGTGCTTTTACCATGCTACCGAGTATATTCAGCGAATCTGATCAACTATTCCGGGAAATTTAACCAAATACATAATTATACACAAACACACAATACAAAATACGACGCGTCTTACTGAAGTGAATTTTAGCGAAATTGGAACCAAATTATTGATAGGAATGGAGCTAGGTATTCCTATTCGCAATGGAAGAAATCAAAATCTTGTTGTACTTGATTTATTTCAGGCCTCGCTAGTATGTCCAGGTATATACAGAAGCAACAAATCCACACCAGCATTCATTTTCATAGGCACTCACGGTCCTCAGAAGCCGTTACCCCTCTCCTGGCACCACTTCTCAACCTCCTTGGCCAACTTATCCTTCTGATCACGCACCATCTCCATCATCGGCTCAACCTGTTTCTGGAAAGCGGCATCATACCCAGTCAAGCCATTAGCCGAATACTCCGGCTCCTTCTGCGGAGCCAGATAAGTATCGTAGATCGAGATCATCATATCCATAACAGCCGAGAGCTGGTTAGGAAGCCACTGTAACCACCCGTTAGCCATCGATTCATCTCCAATACTTGATAACACTCCAGGAAGGAAACATACTGTAACAATAGGGCTACCACCGGTAGCAGTGGGGTGAGGGGTACGACGAATGATATACTCGCGGGCAAACAGCCAATGACGCCAGCGGAAGCTCCGCACATGGTTCAGGGTCTTCAAGAAGAGGATGCAGTCTCAGTATCCTTGACTACGAAGTCGCGGACGCCGACCTCCTCGGCCTTGGAGTTCATGTAGGCGAGGAACTCGCGGTGGGGGAGTGGGCGGTAGGCGCGGAACTCGTGCAGGATCTTGGTGAGAGGAGTGGACGGCATGGGGATCTGGCAGAGGTGGTCCAGGAGGGGGATCTGGGTGGGTTAGCTTTGGGGGGTTAGATAGGAGGGTGGTGGAGCACATACCATGCTGTCGTTGGCGCCGCTTTCGCCACGGAAGTTGAGTGGCTTGTTGTCGAGGACGCCGTCGTAGATCACGCCGTTCGGGAACATGGATTGGTTGGTGATTCCGAAAATGAAGACACGGAAGGAGAGGTACTCGCTGGGCTTGGAGTTGGCCCACATATCTAGGATGAATCAGTTTTGTGTTCGGTTTGGGTGTAGCTGTGGTTTTGGGAGGTTGCTTACCTTCCATGCAGGCTTCGATCTTCTCCATGGATGCCAGGATCTCTCTGAATCCTTCGTTGACTTCGGCACGAGAACCGTCTTGTTCAATGGTGTCGACGACCTTCAGGGCTCCGCTAATCAGACCATTGGACTCCTTGACCATGTCTATGTGAGTCAGGATAAACCCAGCCTCGGAGGACTTAGGGTTCAGGCCATGTTCAAAGGCCCGGACAAGACGGAGGTTGTCATATACTAGACCCTTCTTTGGATCGGCAAGGGTGTAGTTGAAGAGAGAGTATGCGGCAGCATAGGACATGAAAGGGGGGATGTCCAAGCTAATGATGGTTAGTTAGTATAACTTTGTGTGATACCTCAATGTAGATTGAGAGAAGATAGGATTGCTTGGTGGTGTAACATACAGTTGAGCACAACGGTACATAGGACAAGCCACAGCCCTAGGAAGCACGTCACGTCCCAGACCATACCCCTTGTCAGGATTCTTGCACCAGTTCTCCCAGCATGGCTCAAGAAGGTAGGAAGATGCCAAGAAAGAGTAATCACGGAAGACAGCAGTGACAGCATAGAGGTCTGGGGAGCCATCAGCAGTGACCAGCTTGTCAACTTCGGCGGTGAGGTCAGGAAGCTCCTGGACGGCAGGACCCAGCTCATAGGTAGCCAGAAGACCAGGGGTACCATCAAGCTTCTCCACAGGAAGGCGCTCAAGCAAGGACACCAAAGGTTGGAAGGGTTCGGGCAGTTGGGTAGGGGACATTATGAAGGGCATGAAGCCCGTAGACGTGGTGATAGTGAAGGGGTCCAAAGACTTGGGCAAGGTTGCCGGGTCATCATGGATATGAGGGAAACGCTTCACCGTGGTAGAAGAGGTTGGGGGAGTCTTTGTCTGTGTCATTTTGGAAGTGACAAAAAGGGGGAAAGACAGTGTCTATATCTAAGAGTAATTGTATGGGAGACAATATGTATCAAAGAGAAGAAAAGAGGTAGAGGGACCACCAAAAGACGAAGTGAGAATGAAAAAAGGAAACGGGAGCTTTTTAGATGAGAATTGAGATCTCTTATGGCTCGAGAATAGTGATTTGAATGAATGGATTTGGGCGGGAAAGGAGGCGATTCTTATAACATTCAGAGGCCGGTATCAATTCCGGCCTCGATGGCACTATTACCAAAAGAATGAGAAAACCCCGTGGAGACTTGATTCTGGCCGGTATCACTGTGATATCACGACTGATAAGCATCTTGATATGAAATATTGAGGTCTCTTTGCAATAGCTGATGTGAACACCAACCCCTCTATCTATATCTTCATTCTCAAAGACATATACAAGAGATCTATACAGATCCTTGGCATCGAGGGCAAGATAGGATCACGGGGGCACGCTAAGCCAAATGTAGCAGTGACTTCACTATGCTACAGTGACGCCTTTTCTTGCTTTAGCAGCTTGTATGCCAATTAAAAAGACTATGTTGGTATATAACAGACCCACCTCATCACTTAAGGCCTGAAATCCTCCAAATCAAAGCATATTCATTGTATACTTATCATGAATGTACGTGTAAAGCGACATGTCTGCTCTATATTTCGCTCTCTGCCAAGACATATTACCCCACATAAATTTCCTTGATTCGTCAGGAAGTCCGGATCAAGAGCAAAATAGCCTTTCCTAGTTGCAGGAGGCCGGAATTGGGCCGGCCTCCGATAATAGCCGGCCATCTTTTATGTGCGATACCGTGTCTACTAGTAGTTACATGCTCGGTGTTGTTCACGAAACACTCTATATATACCCTGGACAATTCCCTATATATATATTTTTAGAGCAAACTGTGAGCATGCTAGGCGATCTGGAGAAAAAAGTAGAGGGCAGGAAAACAGACTATGGTGTCTGCTTTAAGAAGCTTCTAGATTCTCGATGATAAGATCCATGGCATGGTCTTTCATCTACTCTCCGCCACATCCAATCGATAGTTGTGATGCTAAACTGCAGCTACATAAGAAGGTCATACATGTGCGTCCAAGAGATCCAAAGTCATCCTGATGACAATGTAAAAGTGAGTGCGTGCGTCGGAGCAGGGATTCTATATCATGTACTGTACATTCGGGTATATTATACAGGAGCCAGTCATCTATCACTATATTCAGTTTAGTTATGTTTGAGGGCCACTCTTCAAAGTAGTTGTTCCCTAAGGGCTTTGGACTCACCAGATGATAGCCTATAGCGTAGAGCATAACATCCAACTCAATCTAACACTGTTTCAATGATTTTGAATATTATGTCCCTCTCCCCTGTTTCGCTTTGTCTCCACTCTGATCTTCTATGCTCGGGGAGACAGTTTGAAGCTGCCTATATTCTTCTTCAAGTCTTCGTTGAATCTCGAACTCGGCCTGCCGTTCTTGTCGAATGCGCTGCTTCTCCATATCTCGCTCAACACCCTTATGCATGGACTTCAGGAATGACCAAGAGTTAGCATCGGTCAACGTTTCAGAGCAAGGTACATACAGCTTTCTCTTGTTCTTGTGCCCAGTGAACGAAGTAGATAATTCCCGCCGTACCCAAGCCGGTAGCAGCCAATGTCAGCTTAGATGCTCGGGACATCTTTATATGTTTCCAATTGTGAATATTGGATTAGGAAAAATAATTAGCAGACACCACAGATCCAAAGAACTCTGGCATGATCCAGAACCTGCAGCGGATTATCGGCCACTATCACCATGGCGGTGATAAATGGCAGAATACAGACCGCCTAGAGCTGACCACTCGTCGGGGAGATCCTCGGCGCATCTCCACGCCTCAGCCTTATCTGTACTGTATCCTTACTCCTTCCCTCTCTCTTTTTTCGATTTTCGTTGTCAGCCAAGAGCATATACTAGTAAACATGGTGAGTACATGGATATGCGTGGTTGTGAAAGCTGGTGATGCTAACAATATGCTATAGTCCGCTCAGAACTCCGCAGGCATTCAAACCCTCCTCGATGTAGGTCATGTTGGCATGATACATCGCAAAGGTTGCATGATTTAACGCAAGTACTAGGCTGAGAGAGAGGCACAGAAGATTGTTCAACAAGGTATGCTTGTTAGATACAAACTTGGAAACATCTAATGTACTGACGCATCGTGCTTGTTCAGCTAGAGAATGTATGATTTTTCCCCCAGTCCTCTCGACATAACATGCACAGACCTGATGTGTAATCTTTAGACCGTACGAAGCGCATAAGGGACGCGAAGTCGGAGGCACAGAAGGAAATCGAGGAATACAGAAACCAGAAAGAGCAAGAGTTCAAGAAATTCGAGGCTGAGGTGAGCATGATCCCGCTCAATGAGTGTTAAGGATATCTTCTATTTGTAGATTTACAGGGCTCAAATGGCTAACTGCACATGTCCCTCAACATTAGCACTCGAGCGGATACAAGAAAGCCGAAGAGGATGCAAACAAGGAGGCAGAATTGAAGCTGCAGGAAATCAAGGAAGCTGGAAACAGCAAGGGCGCTAAGGTTGTCGAAGACTTATCAGTGCATTGACTGATGTGAAGCCTGAGGCTTCCGAAAAGATTTTGAGCCAGGCATAGGCGTGCGGCCATGGGGCTTCTCTGGCAACACTGAGGGGATATGTTTATTTGGGGTTTACTATTTTAAATGCTGTGAATATAGCGTTTGTTTCATTGTTTTGGCTCTAACCGCGTCTAATCTCATCGAAGCCGACCCCGGCAGATGTTGTCAACGCTGAATAACGCCTACTTCGGCTTTGGCAAGATCTGGGTCGTGGCTCTATATGGATGGGGTATTTCTTGAAATACCATCGAGCTCGGATGGCTCTGATAGGACAATATTTACTATCAAAAACATTGAGTCGGGGTTCTAGACATCTGCTTAGCTCGAAGGCTACAGCAGCCCGATGTTTACATTGTTCCCTAGAGTCCATACTCATAGACAGATAGGCACTTCAATAGTATTCTAGGCCTTTGACAGCCTTTTGCTCGCCAGTGGCCTAGTACAAACCGCTTACACAGGTTCATATTGAACTGCCATGTTTCACTCTAAGCTGATGTTTTGGCACATGCCTTAGTTGTATTTCTCAATTCTTTTAGCCTGAGGCACACTTTTTTTAAGGCTCCGGCAGCCATTACATCATCCCGCAATGCCCCCAATAACATCATATTCCAAACCACACATTAGGAATATAGAAGATGAGATACGCCGTCGTTACTCTGCGCGCAAACAATAGGTTTGTCAGCCTGAAGAGCGTCTGTCGGTACCCTCGGCTCAATCATCGAATTCCGCGCGAGTTCCATTCGTTAACTTGTAGGTCTCATCTCCATGAGGCCACGGGGTCTGACCCACGACTGGAAGGGCTGGGGAAAGTCATTGAGGATGAATATGCGGCAATTCGGAAAGATTATGGTCAGTTGCTGCCATTTATTTCAATTCCTTAGAGTTGTGTCTGTATGCATGCAAAAACACTGTTCATCAGCACTAATACACTGACTTAGACACCCCAAAGCACGCCATTGTCCTGGCGCATGGGCTTCTTGGGTTCGATGAATTACGCCTCGCCGGTCCTTACTTTCCTAGTGTGCAATACTGGCGCGGTATTAAAGAGGCGCTTTTAGTGAAAGGAATTGAGGTCATCACCGCTACAGTACCTCCTTCGGGGTCCATCGAAGCACGTGCTGAGGAACTAGCAAAGGATATTGCTGCTGGTGCTCAAGGGAAGGCTGTTAATATTATTGCGTATGTAATATTACCACCTTTTCTTTGTCGGTATCGAGTTTTTGGGAAGCCTTCGGCTCACTTAGCTAACCCAGCACAGTCATAGCATGGTAAACAAAATATCCAACTAATGCTTAAAAAGGACATGCTCATTCACACATCTCACTAGGGGTGAGGCCTCCATGTCAAACGGAATAGTCCGTTAAATTGATTCATATTTTAGTGGGCTTGATTCCCGGTATATGATCAGCCATCTGCGACCGAAGAACTTTAAAGTTCTATCTCTGACGACCATTGCAACTCCTCACAGAGGTCAATCGCAGCATGAGTATTAAACAGATACTGCTAGCTAATCAAACTGCAGGCTCGTCAGTTGCGGACTACCTTCTAAAGCAGATCGGTGGTTAGTTTGTCTGGCACCCCGATCATGACATACCAAGGAAGCTCATGATGTTGATGTATAGATGAGCGTCTTGCTCAAGTATATTATGCTCTCGAACAAATAAAGTTTGAGACAGGTGCTTTCGCTCAGTTGACACGAAATTACATGGAAAAGACGTTCAATCCTACCACTCCTGATGTTGAAGACGTCCGGTATGTGTTCTTTGTTACCGTGGGTTAGTTAATGTAAGGCTGAGTCGGTGCAGATACTTTTCTTATGGGGCATCAATGCAGCCAAGCTTTTGGTCTGTATTCCGCCTATCCCATAGGTACCTTGAACAGGTCGAAGGCCATAATGACGGGCTAGTGAGCGTTGCCAGTAGCAGGTGGGGAGGGGAAGACGGCTATAAGGGCACCCTCATGGGGGTGAACCACTTGGACCTGATAAATTGGACTAACAGATTAAAGTGGCTAGCTGGTGAGGTCACGGGGAACAGGAGAAGGTCCGTCTAGTAGCCTTCCGTTCCCAAAATCCGTTTGATCGTAGCTGACATTAATGCTCGATCCTAGGTTCAATGCACTCGCGTTCTACCTTGCCATTGCAGGTATGTAGCAACCATTCAGACGTGACTCGAGTATATGTAGCTGACGGTCTGGTACAATGTATTTTCTCAGACATGCTTGCGAAGGAGGGTCTATAATGTGGTTGTGCGTTGAGAAGCTACTGAAGAATCTTGGTGCCTAGAGTATACTTCGTATAACCCACGGGGGGCTCGGATCTAGACTACTAGTTCATTCTAGAAAGTGTGTATACCCAATCAGAATCATCCATGGGTGATCATGACACATTTTATCACTGGCCCATGTTTGCTGTCAGAGTCCATGATAAGGCGCTTAATACTTCATGGAAGGTGGCGGTGCAACACTTGCACGGTGTGAGAGAGTGGCTTAGCCGTCGGCAATGCCATTAAATGAACGGGCCAGACCCATTAAAATGTAACCAGACCCTTGGATGATCCTCCCATTGACAAAGCATTGAAATGAATCAGGACCTTAATAAATACTGTCGAACTGTACTCTATAATCTAAGGCGAGCTAGATTAAAAAGGGACCGGTCTAGTCTACGCTTTTCTGTTTGTTACTTCTTTTGTTCCTTTTACAGTATTTATTACGCGCCGAGACTTTGGTGAATCGCTGCCCCACGCCCGCTGTTCTTGTCCCTGACTTTTAACGTCATCCCCCCCTCGTATATCTCGTAGGGCTTGCCGGACTTCCGCCCCAACTTCCTTTGTTTCTTTTGACCCACACAATATTTGGTCGGGCTTGATAAGAGTCTTCAGCTACCAACTGAGGATTTTGAGCTTACATTTCTTTCTTCCACTCAATATTGCAACGACTCAGACGGCCCATTGGAGGAGTGGTGGCTCGTGCAGTTGAGGTGGTCCCGCAATGTCCGCAACTCTCTACATCGACAGTCCGCACACGCACTTTACCAACCTCGATTTCCTCACGGGCAAGGTTGTGGTAAAACTGACTTCAGAGACTCAAATAAGTGGGATCCAAGTTAAATTGGAAGGAGAAAGTCGAACCCGCCTTTCAGGACCGCGACATCCACACCATGAGCAATCTGATAAAAAGCGCACCGAGATTGAGGTTCATAAGGTACGGCGCTCCTTTACTTTTCTTCTCTTTTCTTTCTTTCATTCTTTTTTTCTTTTCTCTTCGCGCTTCTACCTTTGCTCATGATCAGATAGATCTTATACAAGATCCTCAATCTCTTCCCAACACCAGCTGTCTTCAATGAGAACACTCCGAATACCGTTTGGACCTTTGCTGCAGGGACTTACGAGTATCCCTTTCAATTCAAGGTAGGCTAGAGAAATCAATGTCCTAACATGGTGAGATGTGCTGATTTTGGCTTAGTTTCCCTTCAACAATGCATGTAGCTTTCAGAATAGCATGCTCACCAACCTCAACATTAGTGGTCTCAAAGTTGAGGTAGCTCGCGATACACATCGACATGTGAAGAAAACATTACCTCCATCATTGAGTGGCTTCCCTCAAATGGCAGACATCAAATATTACGTCAAAGCAACAGTGATTAGGCCGCAATTCTATAAAGAAAATATAAGGACGGTATGTATGCAAACCAAGTTTCGAACCTTGAATAGACACCATTCCGAAACGGCTTGTGGTACATTTGCTTGAAAAGCTGACTTTATTGTAGATTACCAATATAAACTTCCTCCCCATTGAACCGCCGAGAACCGGCAATCCGGGCGAAGAAACATATGCACGACGTCAACATCAGTTTGCCAAAGCCCCCAGTACATCAAAGATGAAGAGTTTGTTTCAAAAAAGCTCCAGTTCTTCTCTCCGAGATTCTTCCAGTGATTCGCCTCGCGTATCCGCAGACATCAGATTACCGAATCCCTCGATACTCACATGTAACGAACCCATCCCGCTACGTATCCTTGTCAGCAAAACTTCGGAGTCATATGAAACGATATTCTTGCAGACACTACAAATTGAGTTGATCGGCTATACCAATATTCTTGCCCATGACCTAAAACGGAATGAAACCAACACTTCGGTCATCTTCAGCCGCAGTAATATGGCTATTCCACTTGGAAGAGGAGGCGATCCAGTCGGCACTGAATGGACTATCGATGCCAGTATGTGGAGTCACATACCTCTCCCAAGCTCAATTGCACCAACCTTTGAAACTTGCAATATCTCGAGGACATATGAGTTAGAAGTGCGGGTTGGTTTGAGTCATGGCACTGTCGGTAATATGAAAGTACGTTCAGTCCCCTCACCTCATTAATGCGCATCCACTAATTATACAAGCCCCAGCTCATTGTACTGCCGTTACGGATGCCTGTCAAAGTCTACTCTGGAATCTCCCCGCCCCAGGCGCTTCTGGACGCCATGGCTCAAAGCGGGCACATTCATCCTACAGTTTCTCCTACCAAGCCAAGCCGACCTTCCCAGGAAGCCAGTGCACCGCCTCCGATGCCTCCGAGGCCTACTAGACCTCCCGCACCTTTGAATCCAGAGGATGGTTACGATGACGCGCCCCCGAGCTACGAGGACGCAATGGCTGAAACTCTGAGTCCTGTGGATGGCCCCCGTCGCGAGTATAACCCACCAGCTGCCTCCTCCACCGGAAGACCTATTGAATTTGGAACTGATCCAAGCACGCCAGTTCAACCGGGAAAGGATCCTGAGCCCCGGGCGCCCTACAGCAACCGCGAAGCGAATTCGTCGTCTGAGTCTTTCGATATGCTTCCGTCCACTCCTCCCGAACCACAGACCGGGTCTCCCCCTACATCCCCCGTCGCACGGCAACAAAGTGTCCTCAAGATTCACAAACTCGCGGCTCTTCAGGAAGACAGCCCACCCCAATATCAGCCTGTAGCAGATCACCAACCGCAGTCGCCCGGAAGCCAAGTACAGCCAAATTCATCCAGGCCAGATGTTCGGGCTCTAAAACTAGGTGTTCCCAACAGGAAGCCTGTCCCACGGGGTCCAAATTCCGGGGATGCTTAATCTTCTGGGATCACGCAACTAATAGACTTCTTTTGCGCCTGGCCGTGGACTTCCATAATTCAACTCAATATTCAACGACCGGCCTTAGTGGCCTTGTTTGGGCTAGGAAAAGCCTAAAAGCGATAACACCAAGTAAAGGGTCTGGGGATTTTAACATGGATAACACTTGCTCCGAGCAGCGGCAAAATGACGCATTGGCAACCGTTGTTGTTTTAAGTGATACGTGGATCAGACGTGCATCGACTGGAGTTTTTAGGGGCACTTGTCTTTTTCTGTCTTTTCTTTTGAGTGCGCTCGATACCATACCTTCTCTATGGATAGGACACTTGTAATCCCCCTATCTCTACTCGTACATGATACACATAGTAATCGTAATGCCATTCTACATACATGTAACTACTTCTCTGGATTATTCAACACCATCCATGTGCCCAATGGTATTGGTATTGTAAGCGACGCAGCAGCACCTTTCTCACTAAACCACAAAGGGCTAGAATACAGTTAGGCTGAAAATCTCATTGTTTGTTTTCCCGTCCACATTTAGTTCTGTAGTACTCCTACTAATAAATCCTACCTAACTTGCGGTGAGTGATTCCAGTAGTATATCTTATGTTGGCCTTAGGCACTAGTGGGACGAATCAGGTCTAGGGCGATATTTAAATTCGGAAAAGTAAGCTCTGGTTCTCTTTTGTCGAGCTTCTCTTGTGTTACTTCACGCGCCCCATGAAATTTGTCTTGCCACAATATGTTCTTCCCGATTGATTCGCTGGTTCCATACTAATTCAATCCTTTCTAGCTAACTGAATTACCGGCTCTACATATTCTTCCCATTGCCAGAAGGTCCGAGCTACTTGTTTTATTACATAACTGTGAGAGTACCCGACACGATCAATCCTACAGGGCCTCACCTATTACAATTGCATGTTACATTGCCTCACTAGCGCTATTCTCAATGATCAAATTTCAATAATCCCGAAGAAGGAAAGATATATCAATCAGACATTCCCCATCATGCGTCTCCACCTCGTTATTCAACGCCACGGTCTACCCGTAACGCGCATTTTGTGGACGACGGCATCGCCATCGCTTTACGGTCAGAATACATCGTCTGCGCTCCCTGCATTTGCTTCAGCTATTACCTCTTCGCGCGCGCCTAATGCGCTCTATGCGAATGGCGGCTATACTATTGCTCAGCTCCTGGAAGATGTAAATGAGGTTGTTCCTCTTGAGACGGAGCCGGCACTGTTTGACAGTGAATTCAGTGGGCAATGGGGACTTGAAGACTATGTAGTTGAAGTTGGGGGCTCCGAGTGTCTACATTTCATGGAGGTGGAAGGTCTTTTAAGAGATGGCGACGAAATTTTGTGAGTACTCAGGCACCATGTACCGACGAAGCATGCATTACAGTGTCGTTTACTTACACCCGACCAATCAAGGATTCGCGCACTACAAATATCCGACTTGCGGGCTAGGCGATTGACTGGGCGGCATCAAATCTCGACCGATGGCAAGCACCTCATAGACGGTGTACCTTTTGGAAAACCTTTTCTGAAAAGACCTGTCTCTTCAAGACCTGCGATTACGATCCCCCCACGTAAGAGAAGGCGTACGACATTTGCGACGCAAGATAATATAGGAGGATATCACGAGGAGGATACGGAGTGGGATCTTCCGCGAATTCGCTCTTTCCAAGAGCTTTCTGCTCTCAGAGGCGTTGATGAGCCTGAAAGTGGTATTATGGATGGTAATGTGGAGTATAATGACGATGATGATGAGGATGAATATGAGGACTACCATGAGAGTCACGAGGATGCTGGTAATGGTACCGTTATTCGCCATCATGTCGATAACACTGAAGATGCCGAAGCATCAGAAAGTGACACAGACGCATCCGATATCGATGCTAGGGACTTGGAAGATGAGTTGAAGGACCTAAAAGAGGATCTAGATATCTCAGCCATGCCAGAAACCGAGCCCACGGATGATGAACAACATGAAGCTGAGCGCAGAGGCTACGCATTGCGCTCAAGGCTGAGTATCCCGCAGGCAGTGCCAACCAGAGGTTCAGTTGCACAGGCCATTCAGGCTTCCTCAGAAACAGGGTCCTCCCGAAGGGATTCCAAAGCAGTTAGGTTCAGTCAGCAAAAAG